ACTCCATGCAAACTCACTTTCTTTCTCCAAGTTTCACTTTTACCACATATTAAATGTTTAACTTATTTTCATTTATAGCACATGCTTAGGAAATTGTATTTAACTGAAGAAACCTGTATCATATAAAACTTCGCTCTTATTTTACTTTCCATTAAAATACATCATTTAGGTGTTTGAATTATGTGTGGCCATGTTTTGGTCTGGTTTAATGCATGCATGCTCGTGTGTGCCTGCGTGTGCACGTGTGCGTATGTGTGAGGGTATTTCAAAATGTTTGTGGAAAGATGGAATTAAAAGATAAGGGGCCGGCCAGGTAGCTCAGTTGGTTAGAGCGTGGTTTTATAACGCCAAGGTCAAGAGTTCAGATTCTCATATTGGCCACCAAACAAATGAAACAAAACAACAACAACAAAAAGATAAGATGTCATCGGGAGAAAAATGAAGTAAAAAAAAAGATAATTCGAATTTTTCCATGAACTTTTTGAAGACCCCCTCATGTGTGTATGTTAGTGTATGTATATGTACGTATGCGTGTGAGTGAGAGAGAGAGATTATGTGCACATATACTTTTGATTTGCTTTTAACAAAGTCCGGGAATGTAGATGAAGTAGGAAACAAAAAAAGTTCAGTCTTACTAGTCGTTATTATTTATTTGAAACTAGCAACAGTTTAAAATAATAACATTCAACGTAGGTATGATGGTAACAATATATGGCTGGTTGCAATATAAATAACATTTTGAGAAAGTAATAGGTTTCAAGATTTATAAAAGATCATAGCCTATGATCTAATCATATTATTACTTGGAATTTATACTCCTTCTGTGTAAAAGAATAAACAAAGCATGAAAGTGTGAATTTTCGTATTACTTACAATAGTGAACAATTGGATATAACATAATAGGCTAATCATAGATAAATGTTTAAGTAAAATATAGCAAAACCAATCCATTAATGTTATGAAATCATTATAAACAATGACTATAAAGACTATGTAGCAACATGGAAATTGTTTATGATATCATTTTAAGTTTAAAAAGGGCAATTATGTGGATAGGAACATGAAAAAGTTTGCAGAAGTGAAAACTGTTGGCTGGAGTGATTTTTAAAAAAAATTCCAGCATTGTTATATTATGATTTTTGTACTAAAAACAGAAAACATCAGGGAGATTTGGCATGCTTTGGAAAGACAGGGCACTGAGAAGGCTGGACAGAGGTCCCCACAAATATTCTGTGATCTTTTTTAGCCATGTGTTGTGAGGGCCGGGACGCTACTTGCTTGATAGTTTGGTTATGGTATTAGATCAGAGGTGAAGGGCCTAGTAGAGGGGTGTCTAGTGCTCTAACTGGCATGGACACTTTTCATGTTGTCCCAGTAGATTGGCAGGGGGGCTCTGTCAGGATGTCGGGCCCAAGGCTTACCTTGGGTAAACTACCCTTACGTCTCTCCCCACCCAATATTTTTACACTGGAGAGTTCAGGTTAAAATGAAATTTAAGATTTTGGGGAGTTAGGAAACAGTTTAAAACTATGTCACCGGAAGAGTGTTATGTAGTTGGTAAAGGCGTTTTGAAACTTGGCCTTGGTCTTAGTCAGGGAGTTTTGGGGTGACAGTACACATCAAGTTGTCTTCTCCCCTTCGGTACCACTTGCTGGCACTCCCCTTTTGCTTCCCTCACTGCCCAGTTGTTAGTGGAGATAGGGTCAGGGTTAGGGGATAGGGTGGCAGAGTTAATTTTCCAGAGGCCTCCGAAGAAGAGCAAGAGCCAGGAAGCATTTGGAAGATGATCGTGACATGGTTGAAGGGGCAAGGAGAGGGCATTTGGGGGCCTGGGCAGCGGGCTCTGTGCATCAGATCTCAGCAGGTGTGACAAGGGACATACAGATGAGATTAAATGAACTGTCAGAGGATTGGGGCTTCGGACCTCAGGTTTGTGTTTTGTGCAGTGTCTCTTCAGTTTGCGCTCCTGCGTAGGTCGGCTAGTTATAACCACATTTCCGTGCGATGCTCGGTTCTCCTGCAGCCGAGCCTTCCCCCACCTCCCACGTTCCTGAGCTCTGTGACTCAGCTGCTTTTCAGGACATCCGAGCAGCTTTTTTTTTTTTTTTTTTCCTGGGATAGAGCCACAGTCAGGAGATGTTGTACCCAGTCCTTTTGCTCCATGACGGGTCTCCTCCCACGCATGGATCCATGCAAGTGGGACGTCTCCTCAGCAAAAGTAGACTTTTGGAGGGTTGTGGAAAGAGCAACTTCTTCAGGAGATGTTGTACCCAGTCCTTTTGCTCCATGACGGGTCTCCTCCCACGCATGGATCCATGCAAATGGGACGTCTCCTCAGCAAAAGTAGACTTTTGGAGGGTTGTGGAAAGAGCAACTTCTCTAGCCTGACTGGAGAAAAAGACAGGCGTTGGTTAGTCCTGCAGGCTGAAAGGGGGTATTGGAAAGCCAGCACTAAGTTGGACACTGTGCTTACAGCTGTGTCTAGGGACAGTCAGCACTGTCCTCTCACTGCAGTTTGTATATTTTCTCTTAGAGATGTCACAGGGGTAGCAATAGTCCTGCAGCCTGGAAGTTCTTTGTGACTGGGTTGGCATCAAGGGGACTTGCATAGTTTTCTTGAGTGAGGGTGATCTCCGTCGTCCTGACCAGACGTCTCTGCACGCTCACTGGAAGGCTGGCCCAGCCCTTCTGCTCGGGACTGCTATTCTCCCTCATCACCTGTGGGGAAGCTCCTTCCCCTACACAGTGCCAGGCCTCTCTCTTGCCATCTTTGCTAGAAGACTTGAAGCTTTTCCGATGGCATCTCTGCCTAACTCTTGGCATGTACCCATCTTTTCCTTTTCCTGAGCTCAGATTTGCCCAGTTGTGAAGCTGGAGCTGGGACAAAGGCACTGAGAAGTGAAGCTCTGTCTGCAGCGCCTCTGACGCGTGGGGCACTGCTTTGGGCAGGGGCTTCCTCCTTCTCAGCCCTGGCCATTGACCTCTGCCTCTTCCTTGTGCTCTGCCGTCTTTTCTAAACCTCCTCTTTCCACTTTTTGTACTCTTCTCACCTCCTCTTGTACTTCTCTTCTTTTACTTTTTTCCCTGCTACATTGTTTCATCTTTGCCCTGTTTCTGGAGTACTCTGCTCTTTCGTCCCTGATCACTGCCCACTGAGTGTCTGTGGGACCTCCTGACATGTCCCCCGATGGCTGTGTCTTCTGTCCGCCTTGGAATTCTGGCCTGACCTTATCTCAGTCAAGGGATTCACTGTTCACTTGTATCCTTGAGTGTGTGCATGCGTGAATGTGTGTGTGTGGCACTTTCTTCCTGGGGCATCCTCAACACTGCAGGGTACCTTGTGGGGGTGGGAGAGAAGAAAGCACACCGCCAGCCACCACCCTTAACATTAGCCTGGTCTCGTGGAGTGTGTCTCCTGCTCTGGGATGTGCCTTCGTCTGGGTCTGGAAGTCTAGGGCTGTGGTGTCTCTAGCTACTTGCTGACCCGGTGTCACGTCGTGGGGATAGACTTAGCCAGCCTTCTCACAGCTTTGCTTGGCTGTAGAATAAGGGCCTCTGTGGGCTTGGTCGCTATGACTTTTGCTCTGTTGGAGTCATTCAGGGCTCAGTAAGGGTGGACTCTTGTTGCAAGTCTGAATGTCATGTGGTGTTCTGCAACTCTGTGAGGCCCTTGCCCCATTCTGCACTGTGTGTGCATCCGATTTGGTGTCTGTTCTTGTTGAAAGGTTCTCATCCTCCTTGGGGGGGAGAATAGAGCCCCTGCCCTTTCCTCTGGCTCTTGAGAGACGCCCAAGGAAATGAGGAAGAGGAGGGCGGCCGGCTTGAAGGTGCAGCTCTTCTCATGTCCCTAGAGACCCTGTTCTGGAGCCAGTGGAGGGGTTCAGGGCTTGGGACTTTCTCCTCATTCCTCATTCTTTAAACTGGAAGAGACTTTGGGCACTGAATTAGTCTGCTCAGGCTGCCTAATAAAGTACCACGGTCTGGGTGGCTTACACAACAGAAAGTTAATTTCTCACAGTTCTGGAACCTGAAAGTCCAAGATCAAGGTGTCAGCAGGGCTGATTTCTTCTCAGGGCCGTGGGGAAGGACCTGTTCCAGGCCTCTCTCCTTGGCGTGTAGGTGGCTGTCTTCTCTCAGTGTCCTCACACGGTCTTCCCTCAGATTTCCTCTTCTTACAAGGATACCAGTCACGATGATTAGGGACCACTCTGATGACTTCTTGTTAACCTAATTACCTCTTTAGAGATCCTGTCTGCATACACAGTCACGTTTTGGGGTACTGGAGAGTAGGGCTTGAGAGGACACAGTTTAGCCAGTGACAGTAACAGTGAAGTGAGGTGTGTACTGCTGGGCTAGGGCTGAGGGAGGTGGTCTTGCCCCAGGCTGCAGGGACCCTCGCATTTAGCCCTTGAACATTCATGGAGCTGGAGGGGCTGCCCTTTCCGACTGAATTCCTGGCACAGTTTTATCTAGGTATTTGAATTGGAGCTTAAATTTTTTCTGAGATAGTTTCTTCATGTATAAAATTGAGTTATGACCCACAGAGTAATAATAATAGCTATTGTTTATGAAGTGCTTACTATGTGCTTAGCACTTAATTCTCTACCAAATTCTGTTGAGGTTTAGGTACTATTGTTATCCCATTTTACAGATGCAGAAACTAAGGTGCAGAAAGGTTAAATATTTTGTGGTCATACAATTAGTAAGTGTCCGTAACTGAAATTTGAACCCAGGCCCCTGATCTAAAGTCTAGGCTTATATCCCTATGGCTGGCACATAGGAGAGTCTTGGGAAAGTTAGTTGAATACAAGCTAACAGATTTGGATGCCTGCATACACAGTTGGTAGAGGTGTCCTTGGTCTGGTTGGGGTGGAACATTTGGTGGCTTAAGGAAGGAAGCTGAAGAGGGAGAGTCCCAGCCCAGCTTCCCGCAGATGTGAGTCAAGCCGGGGAGAGGGTTCCTGCAGGTCCTGCACCTGTTTCACCCCCCTTCTCACCAGCAACTCCCTCCTGCCACGCAGGGTGATGTGAGCAGAGCCCAGGAATGCCTTATGTGGATCGGCAGAACCGAATCTGTGGGTTTCTGGACATCGAGGAAAATGAGAACAGTGGCAAGTTTCTGCGGAGGTACTTTATTCTGGACACCCAGGCCAACTGCCTTCTCTGGTACATGGACAACCCCCAGGTGAGAGGCTGAGTGGGAGGGGGCGTCTGGCTGCCTTTCAATGCCTGGGAGGAATGCACATGGGATTAGCCTCAAGGGCTTCATCTCATGCTGGTTAGTAAGCAGAGAAAGCTCTGCAACACACACACGCACACACACACACACACACCCATCTCAGATCTTAGCTTGGGGAGAAGGAAGCTCTCCTGACCCTGGAGATCTGGTGTCTTTTCTCCTATGGAGGAATTTAACACTTGCAAAAGTCAGGTGGAGGAGGCCAGCCAGGCTGGATCCAGGCTCTCTAAGGCATGGCTTGTTCCTGTCATCTCTCTAGTTAGGGCTGTGGTCTGGTAGCTGCTCCTGCTCTTCCAGTCTGGGGCCCCTCCCCAGCAGAGAATGTGACCTGGTTCCCTGTGCTGGATGGATGTTGGACTTCTTTGGTCTTCTCAAGCAGGGAGTCATAGAATCCTGGGATGGTGACCTTGGAGGTTTCCCAGTTTTGCTTCCTCATGCTGCAGATGAGAAGACTGAGTCTCAGAGGTAGCAGTTGACTTAGACAAGGACACAACCAGAATTAGGTGACTTGCTTAGCATATTGTAGAGGTCTGCCACAAAGATGGGGGCGCACCCACATTTCATGGCTGTGCCTGGGAGTCCCTGAAGTCATCACTGGTCTGGGAAAAGTTGCTCTCCCCTGATTTGGGATCGCACGTCTTTTTTTATTCTGGCACTGAGTGCTGTTAGTGCTCTCCTTGCCACTGCCTTGGAGCAGCTGGTGGAATGAGGCCACAGAGACTGGCATGGCCCTGGAACAGCAGGATCATGTTGGGATGGACAAGGGCGTGGGGGCTGGGATTTGGCTCTGGTTCACAGGCGTGGGAGGAGGAAAGTCTGTGTGTTAGGGGATGATTCCTGCTGTAAGAAGTGATGTGGAAAAAGAGTTGTGTGAGTCTCTAGGTCATTATCTGGGGACTAATCCTCTAGAGGCTTTTGGCATTTGTCGTCTGGATTCAGTGGCTGAGAGAAAACGCTGTAGATGCAGAAAACATACTCAGAGAGTCAGCTGCTGCTAATTGTCTTCTCCAGGAAAGACTCAACCCGGAGTAGTACCATGTTCCGTGTTTCACCCCATGTCCCTGATAAACCTGCCACTTACTTCCATTTGAAGTGCTGGGTATTCAGAGTGGACCCTCCGTGGGGACACTTGCTGCACCCCGACTTAGCCTGGAATGCCTGTCTGTCCTTGTGCTTGGTCCTGGTTTGCCTTGGGGCCCTGCTGTGTTGTTCTGCCTGCCTTTGCTCTGCACAGGGGCCCACAGCTGGGTCAACAGATCCGTTGTGAAAGGAAATAGCATTTAAGGTACCTCTTTCCCACTGTTGGAGGAACTTGGAATTAAGTCTTTGTTGCCAGTGGACTTGGCTTCTGGCACATGGTGATGAGCCCTGTGTGACCCGTGGTCCCTGGGTCTTACTGTTCCTTTTTCCATTTTCCCCCTTTGTATACCTCCTCCTACTCATCTGCCATGTTAGCTCAAGTAATTTGAATGGACTTTGGTCTCAATTTACCTGCTTCACCCCATGCTTCCCTACTAAGGCTATTCTTAATACAAATTCAGTTACTTGGGGAATCCTGCCTAGCTGTTGCCAGCTGCAATCCTCTCCTGAGGGCTGGACTTTTCTTCATATCCTGGGCCACAGACTGTGAGTCTTGCTGTCAGTGAAAAGTCACCCAGGACCACAGTGTCACCATGTTAGATCTTGAGTGTTGCCAGTTGTCAGGATTTCCCTCACACTGACCTGCCCTCTGATTCGATTGTCACTTGGGCCCATACTTGCACTAACCTTGGAAGCTTTGGCCTGGGCTGCCTTCTAGCTCTCTGGGGTCAGCTCTGCAGCAGGTCCCACCCTGCCTAGGGCAGCCTCCTGTGCTTTCCTGCCAGCTGAGTTCTCAGGATGCTCTTTGTGGTAGAACTGGTTTGAATTACCAAATGGAACTTGTGGCCCAATGCTGAGAATTCTTTACATTTTTCCAGAAAGAAGTAGATTTCAGTTGGCTTGGCATATGCCTAAGAAGGAAGAGTCAGATGGGCTGGTTAGCTCAGTTGGTTAGAGCGTGGTGTTGATAACACCAAGGTCCAGGGTTTGATCCCTGTACTGGCCAGCTGCCAGTAACAAAACAAAACAAAACAAAACAAAAAAAGGAAGAGTGTTGCTGTGACATAGCAGTAGTTCAGAACATTTTACGTCTTCAGTTGTTGGGTAGTTCTTCATTGTGTTAATGGCCAAACAACCACTCCAGATTTGAAAATGGATGTTCTGATAAATTGTGAAATGGTATTAGTGAACATTTATTACCATGTGGCAAGCACAGTTCTTTGGGCTTTCGTTTCATTCTGAAAAGTCTAATTGGTAGGTATTTTTGTCCTTATTTTAAAGGTGAGGTAGAGAGGGGAAGAAATTTGCCCCTAGTTACATAGTAAGAAAGTGGCAGAGCCAGACTCTAACGCTGGCAGTCTGACTCCAGTGTCCCTGCTGTTATTGCTAAGAGACATTCATCTCAGGGTTGCTTGGGAGGAAGGAAAGCCTGCAAAGGAAGTCTCTGATTAAGAAAGAGAAGCCAGAGGACTCTCAGGGCTGGGAGGTCCTAGAGGGCAGGGAGCTCATCTGGTTTGGCTTTTGATCCACAGTTTCCAGCATTTGTTAAAAGTGTGCTCATTGGATGAATGAATGAACAAACTGAAGAGGGCCAGGTGAGGAGGTTGTGAGAAAGCAGGTGCTAAATCTTTAGTTCTAGCACCCCTTTCCTAAAAGTGTAGGTGGAGGTGTAGCACTGCATAATCTTTGGAAGGGGCGAGATCAGTTTTCTTGAGGCTGAGGAACTCTTGGATAACTATTAAATTTGTCCTCGTTAAATAAAGGTAAAACAAACAAACAAATAATCAAAAAAAGAAAGCATGCCCTTAGGAAATGTAGAGTGCCTGATATTGCTTTCCTGGGATTAGGGAGAGGGCAGAAGGTGAACGGAAGTTCTGCAGAGGGGGGCACACTGGGGATTTTGATCTGTCCCTGTGGAGAGAGGCATTATAAGGAAAAGGAGACCCCTGATATGATATCGTAGTTATTTAATAGTCATTAATAAGCAGGGGATTTTCTGAACCCAGCTCTCTGATCTTTGTCTATTTTAGCCACCTGGCATTGGTGCTCATGGAGCCTGTGTCTGCCACTACTGCTGCTGCTGCTATTACTAACGATAGCTTAATTTACTGAGTGGTTACCGTATTCCAGCCATTGGGTGAAATGCTTTACATATATTTTCTCATTAAGTCCTCTCAATAATCCTGGGACCTAGGGACTGTGACCATTTTGTTCAAGGTCACACAGCATGTGGTAAGTGCAGAACTGGATCTGGAGCAGGTCTGTCTGAATCCAGTCTGTCCTCTTCACTTTTGTCTGCTTCTTTCCTCCTACTGATATTTGCACTCAGTCCTGTGCCAGGTCCTGTCGACGAAGGTGAGTGAAAAAATTCAGTGAGTTTTTGCCACCAGGAAACTTCAAGTTTAGTTGGGGAGATGAAAACAACACACTGAAAACTATAGTGCTAATAATCCCAGGACATCATTATAGCAAGATAGCATATCATTTAAGTTGTCAACGCCAGTGCCCAGGTGCCAGTGTTTTGATTGGAGGAGAAGGGGTTATGGTTTTCCTTTGTTGCTGCCCATAGGAAGAAGATGGAGAGCCCGGAGGTGGATTCTCATGTGGAGAGCTCCCAGGCCTGGGAGACAAGGGATCATGGTTGCAGTCTTGGCTCTGCCATTAGGTCGATTTGTGTCTTAGTCCAGCCATTTATCCTTGAGGAGGGGCCCTCTAGGTGATCCTTAACGTGGCTGTTAGCACTTCATTTCCTGAGGGCCTGAGAATAGAGGGGGTCCTGGAGTTCAGTATCATTATTGAGCACGTTTGCTCACCTCATCCAGCGTACCAGACACTCATCCACATGCTGAGGCTACAGCATGGACAAGACAGTCTTTGCCTTCATGGAGCTGACCCTGCAGGTGGGAGGCGGCAGCAGATCCAGGTCTTGAAGGATGGGTGGTCTTAGAGGAACTTTTGCTGCAAATTATTCACGCCTGTAGAATATTTTGTGGGTTTCGAAGTGTTTTTACTTACATCATCTTGTCTGATTGTTCTGCCTGCCCTGTCCTAAGCACGGGTGCAGAGGAAGAGGAAGGTGTTCTGAGTGAGGGAGACACAGTCATTTTGGGGGCAGAGGAGGGAAGGTAAGCTCACCTGGCTAGAGGGGTGTGTAAGGTCGAGGTCCCCAGAAGAAGGCCCTGAGAAGAGGAGTCAGGTGCTGAGACAATGATTTGTTGGCAGGTTCTTCATTAAAGAAATGTTCCCGGGGAGACTGTTAAGAGAGCTGGGGAAGGAGGACAGGGAGAGGTGGGAAGCCCGACAAGGGTGTGGGCTCAGGCAGGAGTCACAAGGGTAGGTTTTAGCCTGGGCCTGTGGGGAGCTCTGGGATGATTCTGCTTCAGAGCTGTCCCAAGGGAGCTGGGCTGTCATGTACCCACACTGGACAGTCAGTGGCTCTGGCTCTATAGCAAGTGTGGGCAGAATGGCTTCCAGCAGCCCAAAGACAGTCCCTTGAAGCAGAGCCGCAGTTTCTGGGAGGCCATCGACAGTGTCTGCAAGCAGGGCATACAGTGGGGGAAGGTTTGGAATCAGAATGCAGCATGGGCCAGGTACAGCCTTGAACGTCTGGCAGAATTTAGAATTAGTGTGGTCAATAAAGGAATCAAGGTTTTCATGCAGGCATGGTGACACTAAGCCAATATAGGACAAAACCCATTAGCCAGAAAGGACGCCTATAAATGGAAAGGTTCGATGTTACTGGTTGTAGCATTTAAAAATCAATATGCTGACAATACCAAGCAAACAATTCTTTTTGTTTCTTATCGTAGTAAGAATATTTAACTTGAAATCTCCCCTTTTAACACATTTTTAAGTGCACAATACCA